CATCCACCACCAATCGTAACAAAAGCAGGCCATCAGGTCTTTTCTCCTTCAGGGCCGTTGATGGGTTCAAACTGCCTTTGCAGCTAATGTTTAACCACTGTGCAACCAGGGCGCCTTCAGGAGTGGACAAAAGATTCTCCAAATCCCTTTTCTCTCTCTTGTCCCATATGTGTTTTTGGTTTTGTTTTTATCTCCTTCTCTCCAGCCCCACTTGTCTTTTGCCTGGAGACGTAGTATAAGGAAAGGGTTATTAGCAAGGCGCTAAGACACCTAGTAGCAAACTTTGTCTTTCTTCTGACCACTTCCCAGTATGTCATTGTTTAGGAAGAAAAGCAGCCTTCTGAAAAGTGCACTAATTGGTAATCCTCTATAAGCTCCTTTAGAGAGCAATTAAGAGGGGCTTTTCCCAACATTAATTTATTGATACCCTTTGGCACATTTTTTGCTTTCTCTGCAAAGCACAGAAAATGCTCTTTTGTTATCTTTTTCCAGCCCAGTTTTGATTCTTAATTATTTTCTTCTCTGCAGTCCATATTCTGAAAGGTTGAGTCCTGTTGCTTATGAATAGAATAGGTAGTGTCAGCTTTCTGTGATGTGTGCACTCAATTAAAGTACCAGTCTTTACTAGTTCCCCTGAGAGACAGCTGTACTAAAAGTTAACTTCCTTCACTGGAAACTGGCCCCAACCACTTTATCTCATCAGTTTCATTGACTCTCATGCTAACACCGCTGTGAAAGAAACAGCCCAAATGAGCTCTGGGACGATTTTTGCTCTCAGCATCTCTGCACAGACCTGGGAGTTCTCCTGGGGCCCGGCCTCCACTGAGCTCCAAGCATGAGCTCGCCGTGCTGTCTCCAGATACTTCTTGGCAGTGTTCAGCACTGTCAACGCCTCTTGAAGTGCTTGTTTTATTTGGATTACACGAATATGGTTAATGTCTTCATTCTTCTCGTTTCCCCAGTGAAACTTCAGGGCAACTCCCAGTACCTCCCAAGGCCTTTTCAACATTAAATTCCCTCTCTATCATTATCATCTCACCACAAGACCAAAATCACCTCTCCTCTGGGAAAGGAGATCAGAGTTATCATCATCCTCTTAGCATTTTATCTCTCTTGATGGTATCGCCAAACAAATGTTTAGTCTCAGGTGTGGGTTTTTCAGATTGTTGGTTCTGCAGGAGCGGTCCTGCTCAGCTTGCTGGCAGCTTGTCTTGGTTGGGGTGTGGCTGTTAAACCCCAGGGCATATTTCCAAGCATAAAAATTACTCAGAATCCCAGAGATAATGAATCAGATTGGGCGGGCATAGATCAGTTGGAAGTTTTGTTTAATCTGGAGGCATATCTGTGATCCAAACAACCGTAGGTTTCAGTTCAGATCCCTTCTCTGCCCTTAATTCTCAGAGCTCTGTGTCTTTATATATAAAGTAGGGATAATAGCACGTACCTCATAGTGCTGATGCAAGGAACAAATTCAGTTACACAAGTGCTGGGAATGGACATTAGATCATCACAGGCATTCAGTAAATGAGCACTCTTTATCCTCCACAATTCTACACCTTTACAGAGACTCCTGTCCTCTTCTCTAAAGCAGGAGTCCCCGCCCTGCAATGTAATTTCTAGGTATAGGATGTTCGCTTTACTGTTGTTCAGAGAGTGAGATACTCCTCAGCCATTTCATCCGCTCTGCCCCTTAAAGCAGCACCAGGTGCTTCAAGAGTCATTGAAACTGCAGACAAATCATTTCTTCCGTTTTGGTTTTGTGTTTTTCCCTAGATGACTTTGTGGTGCAGAAGCCAGAGCTCAGTACCCCCTCTGTTTGCCACGCACCTGGTGGAGAGTACTTCGTAGAAGGAGAAACCTGGAACATCGACTCCTGTACCCAGTGCACCTGCCACAGTGGACGGGTGCTGTGTGAGACAGAGGTGTGCCCTCCACTGCTCTGCCAGAACCCCTCACGCACCCAGGACTCCTGCTGCCCGCAGTGTGCAGGTAACCAGCACTGCGCTTGGGGTGCATTATGGGGAAGGGCTTTGTCATCCTGTGGTGTTGGCAGGCCAAGCTGAGTCTCACGTGGGACCATGACAAACCCACTAACCCAGGCAGGAACATCTGGCAGCCTGCTTCCTAAATCTATTCCATTCTCTCTACCAGATTTTTATGCATTCAGTATGCCCTGCGCCTGAAATGATCCCGTGCTGAGAATAAGATTGTTTCTCTCTGCCATTTTGTTCTTAGCCCTGCACCTGAGACTCAGAATCATGGTGTGGTGCGCTGTAGGATAAGTCCAGTGACTGCTAACCACAAGGCTGGCAGCTCACACTCTCCAGCGACTCGTCAGAAACCCTATATAGGGTCACATTGAGTCGGAACTGATTTGGCGGTACAAACATCAGAGAGACAGAGAACATACTTAAATAGAAGCAGCTCTGTTGCACCAGATGACTTTGTTAATTCGAAAAGTCATCTTTGTCTTTGGCAAATGTGTTACTGATAAGTAATGTATGTGAAATTTCTGTAGCGCATAAGGGTGGAAAAGATACTTTGATGTTCAACAGAGAAATCACTAAAATATGCATAATGCCCACATTCTGTAACATGATGACTAGCTAAGCCAAGATCCCAAGTGTATACTCATACAGCATGTGTGCAAGGTGTGTTATTACTTCGCTTATTTTTATTTCTCAGATAATCTGGTCTTACTAGATGAATTTATGGTCATGAACCAAACATAATAAAACTCTGTCTGAATTTTAAGCATAAATTACTAATTTTGTAACTAACATAACATTCTGAATTATCTCTAGAATAAATTAACACTAAAATATATGGCTCTTTACCAAAAGATATTTCATTTGTATATAGAAACTTGTCAAGTTAACAGAATAACTAGTTTTATTTTGTTGTATCTTCATCTTCATTTTTTCAACCTAAATCAATAACCATTTTTAACTCTCTATTCTTAGAGCATTTCTTCTCAGTAATATATAAGCCTTCACATTGTATTATTTTTTCAAATAATATTGGATTATTTCATTGTTGGCCAGTTATTTTATTGCAACCACGTGATCAGTTTCCAAAGTCTTCATGGATTCTTGCTTGTAATACCCTCCTTTGAACTGCGTCAAGAGAATTCACAGTGATAGCCACAAGCTCTGTTGCTGTCAGAATGCATTGCAACCCATGTGTAGTCTGTTGTCTTACTGCAAAACCTATGGTGTGATTAGTGGCCGTGGTCATCTTAGATGCTTACCGGGTGCAGCATCTGCCCTAGTATAAGAAATCGTTCAAATGGGTTCTAGATATTCTTGTTCTATGTTTTATCATTATTAGTAACTTTCTTAATATATAGCCACGATTCTATTTACATGCTCTTGGTAGAACCCACTTTGAGTGGTCCCTTCACTAAGGATATTTAATTCATATCTATTACGATTCACTTTATAAATACATATGGAATGCCTACATTGATCGTGAGGTTAATGAAAACAGACACAGCTCTTTCTTATGAAGCAGGAATCCAAAACAGAAGCCCTGGAGGCATAATGAGTTACAAGTTGAGTTGCTAACTGCAGAGTCAGCAGTTCAATTCCACTGGCCGCTCCATGTTGGAGAAAAATGAGGCTTTATCTGCTCCCGTAAAGATTTATCAGATCGCTATGAATCTAAACGACTCAACAGCGCACAACAGCAATCCAGAAGAAGAGCCAAACAATCCAGTAGTCCCTACTCGGTAAATGATGCCCATGTGGGAGGAGTACCTTGAAAGAGAAGATTTCTGAGAGCACATGATACAGGCAGCAGTGAGTGGATTGGCAGGTGTCTGAGGGAGGAGTGCACAGGGAAGGGGGTGACAAAGGACGTCTCCACAACCACTGGTCCAAATTCATTGACAAGGCATTTGACAGGATTCAGAGGCCAGCGGAATCAGTGCTATGGAGATGGAGTCTATGTGGAGATGACTGGCGGAATCAGAGGGCTATGGAGATGGAGTCTTATGTTGAGATGACTGTCTGCAGCAGTTTCTCAGAGCTGGGGGTCTCATGTGTGAGGCTCTAGCAAAGAGGGGTGTGGTTATTTCTCTCTCATTCAATCACCACTCATGGTCCTGGATTGAATTTCTCATGTATAAACTTCAGCCTGGGTGACACTTTTACATATAACTTGAGAGGGTCTTCAATGACATGTCGCATCTTAAACATTACAACTTTTTGTTTTATGTGTCATTATTGTAAACATTAATTCTATACATATCTAAAGTCTATATTATAAAGTCAGTCACCTACCTATCACTGATCTTTTTGAACTTACTATTTGTAGTTGCATTGCAACAATAAAAAGATTAAAGAAACAAAGCCTTAAACCTTAGAACATCAGTGCCGTTACTTAACAATTAGTTTCAACAGTAGCCTTGGTAATTGGTACATTACACTTTAAGAAACATTCCCATCTCTAATCCTAGGATGCTTGCATTCTAAAATAGGCCCCAAATGGTAAAAATGTGCAACAGAATCACAGCCTTGAAAGAATTGTGCGTGTATTTCTTCTGAGTACTTATATTTCTCAGAGTGTCTTGTCATACTCTATCCTTCAACTTTCCCTCTCTCTGTTCTGTCTGAAAGCCTCAAACTGGCAAGGTAACTGAGTGCTGAAGAAAGACTGAGAATCTCTGCAAGCAAAGCTGTGTCATTGTTTCTTTACTGCTATAAAGGAAAAGTTGAGCAAAGAGGAGAGAGGGAGCTAGAGAAATAGAAATGAGTGAATTAGTAATACCAGCAAAAGAACTGGTAAAGATGAAGATGTAAATATATAAAGGGAGTGTGGTGGCTCTGTAAGATAAGCGCTGAGCTTCAAACCACAAAGTCAGTAGTTCGAGCCCACCAACAGCTCTGCAGGTGTGAGTCTTTCTGCCCCCACAAAGATTTGCAGCCTCAGAAACCCTACATGGGGTCACTATGAGTTGGCACTGACTTTGACAGTATTTAATAGCAATAACGAAATATTTATAAGCAAAAGTATGTATATATATATATGGAGCTCTGGTAGCGTAGTGGTTACAAATTGGGCTACTAACCTCAAAGTTGGCAGTTCGAAACAACCAGTATATAAAACCTGAATCTATGAAGCAGGAAAAGTAGTAACAAGGCCCAAAGAAAATAGGTTCCCAAATAACATGTTAGGATACTCTTGTTGATGGAATAAGACCCATGACTCTGGGTCTCAGGTTTAATTCTCACTCCGTCATTGTCAGCACATCCTGTTGTCCCCTACGGTCATTTACAGACCTTAGAAAGAGACCTCTAGACTCTAGAACATTCGAACATTCATTTCAGTTGTCATGTCATAAGTGCTGTATTTCTCTTACCTTCTAAATTTTTAGGCACAAAGTTGGATATTGCTTGCAACAGCTAGGATATTAAAGCCCATAAAACCTTCACAGCAATTTTCAGAGCTTAGTGTTGAAAGGTCCTTGGGTGTTGCAAATAGTTAATGTACTTGGTCTATATCTGAATGGTTGGAGGTTCAAGTCCACCCAGTGGCACCTCAAAAGAAAGGTGTGGCAATCTATTTTTGAAAATCAGTTTTGAAGACCCTGTGGAGCACATTTCTACTCTGACACACATGAGGTTGTCATGAATCAAAGTCCAAAGAACAGTAACTACTAGTGGTGGTGGTCATGGTGGTGGTAGTGTTGACTAGAGTGAATCAGACTTACTTCCAGCCAAAGCAAAAGTTAGCATCAATCAGTCTCTTATAAGAAGTTAACTCAAGACATGATGACTCCAGAAAGGTCATTGAGAAAATAGTTTCACTGTACTAACTATAACCCATGCAGATGTAATCTGTGGAACCATGCCTGAAATAGAACCCAGAGTCCATTTGGAGCATTGGAACCAGTGGTCTTTCTTTCCATTTCGCTGCTACCTTCCGGGCTGATACTAGGAAGTCTGGTTATACAGTTTAAAGGAGAGGGTGTGGTTAGGCTCCATTATGCTAACATGCCTCTCTCCGTTCCTCAGTCAGTCCAGAACAAAGTAACTCTCTTGGCCTCAAAGAAATCTTCTAGAGAAATCAAACATGTTGACTGTATGGTGTGTTCATGAGGTTGATGGAGAAAGAATGTGACATTTAGATCCTGGGAAGCACTATATTCCATGTCTAGACTAATTATGGCTTAAAATAGAAGAGGTCATGAAGTAGATTCTGATAGGAGTGCCTAGTAACTGTTTGGACTATTTATCTATTTCTTCAGATAAGAAGATGTGGTCCTCTGAGAGATTTGCTAGGTGAGACCTTCATAGCTATTTCTAGACTCCTGGGTGGTGAAGGAGTCCTGGTGTGGTGCTATGGGTTAATGTGCTGGACCCCATGGTCTGTTTGAACCACAAGGTTGGAAGTTCCAAGCTTACCAGCCGCTCCTTGGAAACCCCATAGAGTCGCTATGGGTCGGAACTGACTTGACAGCTCACAGCAGCAACAGAGATGGTGAAAGTGGTTAGAAGCACTTTCTTACATAAGGAAGATTGTGACATTTCTAAACCAGGATCCTCACGAACGTATATCTTCCTTCCTTTGTTATGTGTTATATTCTTACTTGTGGCTAAAAAATCAGTATTCCTACAATTTTCATATAATTTTAGTCAATACAAAGGCTTAAAAGAGTTATTTGGATTTTCTAGTGATGCTCCTTTGTTTTTTGAGTTGCAGATTGATCTGGGGAACCTCTGAATAGCAAAGACACAGAAGTCGCGCAGATGATTTCTCTAAGAGTGCATTCTTATGTGTGATTTTGATTTCCATCATCTTTCAGCCATTAATATAAATGCCTGAACATTAAAATGTTAAATATAAGTGTTTTCTGATAGTCTGGTACAATTGCGGATTGAATGTTGCTACAAGTAAGAGAAAATCCAACTAGAGTTGTGAAACAAATAGATGTGTATTTTTCATAAATTGCAAGAAGTTTGGAGCAGATACTTAACAGCATTGATTCAATGAATCAATGATAATCAAGTTCAACTTGCCCTTTCTCTTACAAGTATAAAAAAGATAGACAGCTACGAGCCACACACTCACATTTAAGGTAAGAATGTGGCAAGATGGTGATAGCAACACATCCACCATTTATTAAAGAAAGTGAAAGCTTGCCCCAGCACACACATACACACATTCTCTCCCCCTACCCCCAACTTGTGTGGGAGACCAGAAGCAGGTTTGTTCTGATTGACTTATTACACTGATTGTGTTTGAAGTCCTGGGCCACCCCGATGAAAATCAGGGTTTTACTAAGCTAAAGAAGGTTAGCATAGATGTTGGATAGTTGTATAGCAGAACTGTGGTGGATCTTTTTTGGTGTTTGTTTTTGTTTTGTGTTGTGTTGTGTTATTTTCCAGTTCAAAACCTTGCCCTAATCAGACTTCCTGTTTTGTTGCTGAAGTAACTTTTTTTTAAGGAGGTACACCCAAAGCCATAGTATAAAACAGAATGAAATTCTCTGTGTTGCACAGTTGGTAGCCTTACAGCATCTTCACTTCCCTGCTGACCTGTATGTTCATTTTTCCAGATGTACCTCTTCAGCCTTCCTCATCCCATAATGAGAGCGTGCCTAGTTACTGCAAAAATGATGAAGGGGATATATTCCTGGCAGCTGAGTCCTGGAAGCCTGACGTTTGTACCAGCTGCATTTGCATGGATAGCGTAATTAGCTGTTACTCTGAGTCTTGCCCTTCAGTATCCTGTGAAAGACCTGTTTTGAGAAAAGGCCAGTGTTGTCCCTACTGCATAGGTAAGACCAAGAAAAAAATCCTTTATCTCTACCAATGGCCACTAAATCTACATCGATCACCATTTACCTAGATCAGTTAATATATTTGAAATTGGTTTTTCTGATTGAAATCGAAATACACCCAGGGTAGTAGCATTAGGCAGGAGGAAATGTAGATGGTCTGCCCCCAAGATAAAACATAATAGGAATATAAGAAATGCTCTATGAGAAGGGCATTACATGGATCTTGTCTTGTTCTCCTGGGCTTCGTTGCTGTTCCGGGATCATCAGTACCAGAATCCTCTTGCTCTGTCTTAACCTTTACAGAGTGCCCCTCTCTCCTCCCAGGTAGAAACACCATGGCTCACATTAGAGTATACGTAGTACGTAAGGCTTGCTGCTTGCTTGAGATCAATTAAATATGAGATAGTAATTTAATTTAATCTCCCTTCAGTCTTCCTGTCTGGCTGATACTTAATTAGTCCCATTGAAGATGTCTGACTGTCCTTGTTGAGGACCTAGGGAAACAAAGTAAGGCTTGAATCACTGGTAGAACTCTCTCCTTCTTGTGATCCTTGGTGATACATCTTGTGAATAGAGGACATATGTAAAATAGCCCCGGATGTCTGTACAAAAACAGTTCTGTGAACATAAGCCAGATGTTGTGCTGGGGTCCAGAAGGCGAGCTTCAGACAGCTGGTGACTCTAATAAAGGCACAGTCCCTGTTCCCCAGGCTCTCACTCTCTTTTATTGCTTTTGTATCCAATAAAGCTCATAAAGTCAAGTGAAAGACAGTGACATGCCTCAATCCAGCAATGAGCTTCTGATCAGAGTAGCCAGTGAAAGGTGAGGCAAATCAGGCATTGTGCATTTATTGTTAGTGTTTTGCATACTTGCCAAGTATAAGTCATTGCATATATTTGGGGTGACACCTAGAGAAGAGGAGAGACCTTCTGGCCATGACTTTGGCATTTCCAATAGAGAGCTTATGAATGGTCCCCATGTCCGCCCGGCCATAACTCTTAACTAACTGGCATAGCAGCTCCTCCTGCTTTTTATCTTGTAACATCTGGCTCAGGTCACTTCTTCTGAGTCTTATTTTGCATATTCATATATAAGAGATAGCAAGGTATTTTTTTAAAACATAGTTTCTGCTGTCAGGAATTATACAGAACTGGACTTCTCAATGTAATGGCCAAGGGAGTATTCAAAGTTATGATTTGAAACCTGGGTTCTCTTATTTTCATAAGAATGCTAAGTGCGGTGGAGTTGGTTCAGACTCATAGCGACTCTGAAGAGGGTTTCCATGGAGTGGCTGGTGAATTTGAACCGCCGACCTTGCCGTTCAAACCAACCTTTTGATCCAGTGCCTTATCCCACAGTGCCACACCAGGACTATGCCACATATGATTTATTCCTCAAATATGATGCTTTTGAGAGTGAAATGCATATGTCAACAACCATGATGAAACACAATAGTCATAGACCAGGAGTCTGTGCAAAGCAGGACATACGGTCATCCCACCTGTTAACTGATGGTGACATTAGGTCTCCTCTAATGCGTGTGGGCTTCGGAGCCAAAAGTGGAGCCAAACATATATCAGAGCCCAGTTAACCCAGGTCACTACCACTTCCTATTTCTAAAAGCTGCTCCAGAATCCCTGTGAAAATGGCATTGCCTTCAGTGCAATCAAAATGTGAGTGATCACAACCCAGTTAACATTTCAGGCCAGCAGAGGAAAAAAGTACAGCCAATATTTTTAAAAATGTTTAAATGTGAAAATATCAATGCTAAAAGAAACAATCCAAGAGTTAGCTAGGGGCACTTCAGCATCATACTTGGGAAATCAGGGCCCAAGAGGCCGGAGAATTGTGTGGTAACTTCAGAGCAAAATTCTCAAATGATTGTGCTTAGATAAAAGTTCTTATGTTTTCCAACTTAATTGGCTAATCTGTAATTAGTAAGTTAATTAGAGAATTCGTTTCTATATGCTAATATTAAATCACCAGCTGCCCGTGTGAAACCCTACAGAGGGTCACCATGAGTCAGAACCAACTTAGCTGGGCTCACCAACAGCCATAGTGTCACTCCTTTTTCTTGCAGAACCAATTTAACAAATTCAAAATTACTGAAAGATACCTGCTGTGCCCTCTGCCCACCCCCCTTTTATTTTTTGCCTTCATATTTCCTATTCTGGTCCTTCCTTCATCATGAGACTGTACAATCTACTTTAGGATGTGAGTGGCGAGGGGAGGGATTTGATCCAAATTTGTGATTTTGATTTTAAATTACATCGCAGGCACTTTCTCTAAATTGTGGTTCATAACAAGCCGATATTGGTATAATGAAATGTTGTTGGTGTTGCATCGCCCTTCATAACTCGCCCTCTCCAGAATGGGGCATGTACAGTTGTGTCATATAAACCCATGAATTGCCTTCATGAGAACGTGTTGGGGAGACTTCACATTTGGTAGCAATGACTGTGCTGCTACTCATTCATTCATTCATCTTAGTACTGCATGCATGTTGGTGTACAGTTGAGAAATATTCATTAAGTCCCTTTTGTCTGCATCAGACTTATTTTGCAATTTACTTCGTTAGATTGGCCTTTATATTTTCTTACCTAGGATCCCATATGTCCAGCTTATAAAAATCAGGTTCAATACAAGATTGCTAAGGGATTCTCAGTCTGATTCTCCAGTTTGTTCCCTTGGGCTCTCTAGGCTTGCTCTCCAGTCAGCCCGGTCTTACTAAAAGTGGGAGCACACATAGGCAGGAATCGGCTGGGTCTTAGACACACAGCCTTCATCACCATCCAAAGATAGAATCGCTAAGGAAAAGCATGGAAATACACCATCCTGTTGCATGTCCTAAAGTACCCACTTGATTTTTCATTGGGAACTGAGTACTAGGGTTTGCACTGTTTTAGGCTCTGTGTGAACCCAACTCCTTGTTAGCCAAGATTATCTGCTCCCAAGATCTTATGTGAGAGTATTCTACCTCACCCCAGTCTCTGAGTGCTGACTTTGCCATGCCTCAGGTCTCTCTGGGTCAGGTTTCTCTCATGAGTCAAATGTACTGCTTCTGTTAAATGCTGTCGAGTCGGTTCCAACTCATAGCAACCCTGTCTAGGGTTTCCAAGGAGCGGCTGGTAAATTTGAACCACCGACCTTGCATTGCAGGCCAGCACAGTAGCCCATAGCACCACATGAGGATTCCTCTCCGAACTTCAGACCCATCTTTAACATTTTTTTTTCTGGAATAAAGCCCTAAACAAAAGCTTTCTTGCTTTCACCTGTCTGTTTTTCTTACCAGAGAAATGAACAGTGACTATCCTACTGAAAGAAATAATCTAATGACAAATATTTGTGTTCCTTTCAGCTAAATTATCAAGTCACTAATGTGCAGTGATAATGCCTCTCTTTTGATGTGTGAAGGCCTCATATTATGTGTACTAATTTAGTAGAATGTGGAATACAGACATAATTAATAGGATTGATGATTAATTTTGCAAAGTGAACAGCTTTGTCTAATTAATTATAATACCTATCATTAGGGAATTTGTCCTCGTACTAGAAAGAAAGTAGGTACTAATTACCCAATCATTTTAATGGCGCATCTTCCTAGTCCCTGGTTTTCTGTATTCTAGCTTTCCTACAAATACAGGTTTATTTTCATAGGCATTTAGACTGTAACTATGGTTTATGGAATAAGGAGCAAGAATCAAAAGATGAGTATAAACCAGGAGGAGTAAGAGGTCTGATGGGAATTCTAATGTGTGATAGCAGGTTTGAGAGGAGGTTACTGGTAAACAGCAGATAGCTCAGTCATGACATACATCACTTTGCAAGATGATGTTGTTGTTGTTGTTGTTGTTAAGTGCTGTCGAGTCGATTCCAACCCATGGACCCTGTGTAGGGTTTCCAAGGAGCAGCTGATGAACTTGAACCACTGACCTTACAGTTCAAACGACTTTGCAGCACCACACCAGGACTCCTAGGTTGTTGTTGTTAAGTGCCATCGAGTCAACTCCTAGGTAGGACTGGCTTAAAGCTTCTCATAGCCTTAGCTCTGACTACATGCCTTTGTAGAACTTTCCCAAAGAAAAAATGTTTCAGTTCTTCAGTGAGATCTTTGTTCTTTGACTCCCAAGAAGCATCAGAGAAGTCAGCCAAGCCCCTATACCAAATGCACGCCTTTGTCCATGTGGGTGCTAGCCTTAATCACGTCCCCTGGCTCTGATGTTTGTGGGTTGTGGTACTTCTGCTGATACGAAGACCAGCCTAGCAGGTTCCAGGTCAAGGTATTCAGTGGTTTCTGGTTAAACATTATAGAGGAGCACTGTTTTGTACGTAAGATCTTCCTTAGTTTAATCTGTGACATCATTAAGCCCATATAACTAGTATGGCTTTGAAACGGTCCACTTTGGAATTCATGGTGCTCGGGTTCGTCCCCTTATTGCGATATTCTGTTAAACAGAACTGGTCTTAAGTAAGCAAATCTTTAGTTGGTTCGATAGTGAGTATGACTCAGCATGTAGAATATTGTTTTCAAAATTGTGATTTGACAACTATTTATGTGTTGCTGTTGGTAGGTACTGTCGAGTCCTTTCTGACTCATGGTAAGCCTGAATGGTAGACTAGAACTGCCTCATAGGATTTCCAAGGCCATCATCTCTATGGGTTCAGATGTTAGGCCTTTGTCCTATGGAACCACTGGGTATGTGCAAACCTCCAACCTTTGGGTTAGCAGCAAAGTCCCTGACCATTGTGCCACGGGGGCTCCTTTGATTTTTCTGTAACCATGTGGTGTTTTATAAAATATTTGAGGTCTGATGTTTGAGTTCTGTTGGTTGGCTGGAAATCCCGAGACAATGCATCTTTCTCAGTTAAGTCATTTTTGTTAAATTTTAGTGTTTTGTTGTTGTTTTGATGATACTTATTTGGGAGATATATGAGGCGACTTCAAAAAGTTTGTGGAAAATGGAATTAGAAGACTGGCGGGGGGAAAGACAATGGA